CTGCTCCTCCTGTTGAGATTCCCATCTCCTCTCGCAGTCTGGCCATGCCTACTTCAATTCGCTCCAGCACATGTTAGTGTAGCACAGAGTTGAAGCTCTATAGCCAGACAAAAATATGTCTGTACCCAGCTCTTCCACTTTCCACATGGCTCTGGACTCCTAACTTAGCTTCAATTTCTTCATCGTTAACTAATAATTGTATTGGCTTCAAAAGAACTAATATGAAGTACTGGAATCAGACTGGCCAAGTCCTACACAGGAAGTGTAAACTAAGCAAAACCACCCTTCTGAAACTGCCTTTCTAATGTCTCTGGTCCACTCTCTGCTGGAGATTGCATCTTCTTGGGACTACTTGCCACCACTTCAAGATCTCTGAGTTCTTTGGCATCTGAATGTTTTGGTCTCCTTTACTTTTTTGTACAGAACACTTCATCTTTCAGTCTTTTGAGTCTCAGGACTGTTTCCCTCTGAATCTATCCAGAGACCCCTACTTCTAGCAATAATTGGGAGACCCATCTCTGAAATTAGGTGTGTCAACTCCACTCTTTCCCTGCTTATACATAAGGACTACCTTCCCCCATTTTCAGCCCATGCCCCAATTCTTCCTCACCCCAGTGGATCAGGATATCCTGCCCTCCTAGACTGCTGTGCTTCACTCGGCAAGACAGTCCAGCTGCCTCCTGCACCACCACATCAAGGATCACTCCCAGATACCACGTGTCATCAGTATTGGGCAGCTCATTCCCTCTCTGAGTTTCAGGCAGCTCCTGCTCACCCCTCATCCACATCACCCACATGGGCTTTGGGTAGAAGCCAGAGACTTGGCACACCAGCTGCAGGTGGCCAGGCCCAGGGCTGGGGTCCTGGAACAGCCAGGCCTCAGGTTTCACTGTATGCAGCAAGGAATTGGGATATCTTCAAGTGAGTACTGGGCATTAGATGCTCCACTGCTATCAGCTTCCTGCTTCCCAAGTGTCAACTTCTGGAGATGATGTCTGCTCATAGCTCTGATTTCTTCATGTCACCTTCTCTAGGTCAGGCTTCCTTGCTTCTCCTTCCCTTTCTCAATCACAGCATGTTGTACCACCCCTCCACTGGACTCTTACACCCTGGGCTTTGTCATTGCACACAGTGCATTTGAAACCTGTCTGACTCTGTATCTAATTCATGACGTATAAGATCTAATACTCATTGTCTGCTGGTGAAATGAGTAAATAACCCCTTGGGTAGAAAAGCCGCAATGAAGCCTAGGTATAGAGAGGTACAGAGGAAAGCAGAAGGCTTGCAAGGCTGACCTTGTTGCTCCAGGTCTGATTTTCCTGCCTCAATGAGGCCGCTGGCGAGCTGAGGACTGGTATCACTGAGCAATGACTGCACCATTTCCCTCGATCCTTGGTCTTTGTTCACCTCTTTAATGGCCTGATCTAACCAAATAGGAGCATGTGGTGTTGATACGCAGGAAGTTCCCTGGAAACTTGCTACATGCATTCCATCAAGTGCTACATGTAAAAAGGTTTCGGAGGCATTTCCAGGGTATGCCCCGCATCCCGCAGCCCCTTGGAGCTCAAAGGGATCTGTGGAGAGGAATGGGTAGATAACAGAG